AGGATTTGATCAACCTGTGCTCTCCCTGGCGTTTCTCCTCTCTCCTGGGCTTTGCCCTAGTGTCACCTACCATCGGCCCTGTTTTGAATGTCTCCCCTCAGGATATGAGCGCCATTGCAGTACGACACAGCAGCTATATGATTCAGGACATGGAGACTGCGGCAGCGGGCAATAACTAGACCACCCCGCACAACACTACTTAGCTAGTTGTCGCCATGAAAGCTCCTATTGCAGCGGTTTCGCGCCAGGATGAGGGACGGCATCTACGACGTCGCGGCTGTTGCTGCGGTGCCGCAATGTGGATGTCGTGACCCATAGCCGTGCCGCTCATCTTACACCGTATCTTTTTAATTTTCAGTTATTTCATCTCATAAATGGCTATGCTATCGCGAGAACAATTGGACGAGTTCATTATTTACCGTACGAGAAGGAGAGTCGAAAAGTGGTAGTGAAGTATCTGGAAATATTCAAGCGTGTGTTTCCCGCACTCGAAAGTACATACTTCTTGGACCAGGTAAGGGCTCTGCCAACTTATTTCTTCACAGAGAAGATTTTTTGATTCCCCTTACATTGAGAGATCCAATAGCGCTCCATCTGATAGTGTTCTGAGACGCTATGGGCCAAGGATCTTTGCAAATTGTATTTTTTTCGTGCCAGCTTGAGCCACTCTCTACAGCAGGAAGATGTAGATTGATAATGAACAGGGGACTGAATAAAATCCTGAATAATGGCATTGTGATTAGTTCCTTACGAAGAAATAGCCACCTTAACCTAATTTTGATGAAGAATGTCGCTGTGAGAATGAGGCGGAGCTTTTTATCTCAAACCTTGGTGTGCCACCAATCAGAGACGTTCTACGTGTGCTCGGCACGGCCCTTACAAGGGAGGTCGTTCAGGGTGTGCCAAGCTTTTTCAAAATGGTTTCTTGCATGACATTGGGGCACATATGGGGACCACAGAAGCATGGTTCATTTTTCCTGAACGGCCCTCTGAATACCAGAAAAGGGGTCCCTAGTTCGATTCCTCGTGGTGACAAATTTTGCATTTCGAGTTGACGTTTCAAAATTCGCGCAAAATGGAGTTAGCATGAATAATTAGTACCATATTCATGATTAGGACCGTCAGTAACCCTTACAAATAGACTTTGATTGAAAAACTGGTGAAAAAGGTGTGACTAGGGACCCCCTTTTCTGGTATTCAGAGGGCCGTTCAGGAAAAATTAACCATGGTTCTGTGGTTCCCGCATGTGCCCTATATCATGCAAAAGACCGTTTTGAAAAAGCTTGGCACACCCTGAAAGACCTCCCTTGTGAGTGGAGGGATCGGCG